ACTTCATAGAACTAGATGTTTGAAAAATAGGAAATATATTGATACACTTCTGTACTAAATAAAAAGCTAAAATATCTGAATGTTAGAGCACTATATACGAGACAAAATTGGTCAGAGGGATATAGTCAATAATTGCAAAATAGGGATTAAGGTAAAATATTATAAGACTTATTCATTTAAAAATTCACTAATTGTGTCAAGGTATGTAATAAATAACCCAAATTATGTCTTAATTAAGTTATTCACTTAATACCAATATAATATTTTACGTAATAACTTATATAAGGGCATTGAAAATGTACAATCCGATTTTCACTATTTTTAGAATGGAGCTAAAACACTTTGGAAACGCTATTTGTGCTTACTTACTTACCTAAGTTTTATTAGTTTCTTCACGTATGTTTGATTTATTTATTGCAAAGTTTAGTATGTGTTAGTTACTATTAAATATTGTGTTATATAAGTATTAGGCATGGTTGCAGTCCAACGGCATCAAGAGAATATCAAGATTATATTATATACCAAAGATAGCTCAACTTAGTCCATATAAGTCTGACTCCGACGCCTTTCGTTTAATAGTTACCGAATTTTTAACAGTTTTTAACATGACTGTTGCATGGTGGGTGAATGTTTTTATTAAACGATTTCACTTTTCACACAATCAAGTTTTAAGACATGCTATAGAGACATGTTTTTACAAGGTCTGAATAATAAAGCTGTTGCAGTTTGTTGCCCTCCCTGGTATGTTTTGTACCGAATTCGAGAGATGTAGCCTAGGTATAGCTTTATGTTTGTACTTGCATCGACAGACGGACTGACGCAGAGACAAACTTGCAAAACCCATTTTTATCGGCATCCTGTGTAAAAATGACAATAATTTTGTTTCGGGGTGGGAGTAGCGATACCCTTAACAACTTTATTGATTCTGAAAATTATGCTACTATAAATAATAAATTTACCAATTTTTTGTAAATATCAACCCGCTATAAATTTGGCGGATATATACAAGTAGCTCAAACTTTTTAAGTTTTTAAATGGGTTTTTGTGAACTATTTATTAGCATTGGGAGATTTGATTCTTCTGTAAATATCGTCTTTGAATGCCGATGTAATTTTCGTAGAATTAAAACCGTTAATTTCGTGCAAGAATCAATTGACAGAGTATCATTTCGTAAAAGTATATACCGCACTGATGGTCAGTGTATCTATTTAGCCTCATTTTATGGAACAATTTAATAAAAATTTTCACATTCATTTTCTAATTTGTGAATATTAACATATGCGTCATCCCAATTTAAAGTTTAGAGCGAAGTCCTAATGAAATTAAAATATTTCGTTTTGTCCGATACACTTTCTTAATTTATTCCTCTCAACACCCTCTTTCGCTTTAAAAGTCAGATGCTGTTTCTTCTAAGAATTCAGCTGACAAACATTCATTATTATAAAATACAGATAACAAACGAAATCATTGCTAGTACAAAACTGAAGTATGTTTGTTTGTATATTGCCGTGCTGGCATTGTAATACAGGACGGTTTAATGCTAGCGAAAACAAAACTTGAAGCCAATGTTGTAGTAATGCTGTAGTAATTGATTTAAATTAAATTTTAATACTAATTTATTATTTAAACATTTTGCCCGGCTTTGTAACTTATCTGCTCTTCTTTTTATAGGAAAAATAGTATACACGTAAAATGGAGTCACCCTATATACAATATAGATATTATATTTGCCCAACATAGGCATGCTATTTAAAACTTCTCAAATTGTTATGCACGTATTGTAATGAAGACTGCCTGTTTTTTGGAGATTTTTTTTTTCCTAAGATCAGTAAATATATAGAGCTTTTAGTTTATTATCATTTATTTACATATATGTATTTTGACAGTATAAATATAAATTTTATGCTAAAAATATTGTGTAGAACATCAGTTACAGTGTTCTGAACACCCCCGCCTCGAAAAAAGGAGCTCGCACTTCTCGCAAGATTCCGGCTGATCGGCTTATCCGAAACCAAAAACATTAAAGATGTTTTAATCTGTAGGCCTAAATGCACGGAAAGAACTATTATCAAATGAATTTACAAAAATTGGGTATTTTTGATTGATAATAATTCATTCCATGCGTTTACATATGCTGTGGGTACCCTACAAATTTCAAGTCTTCGGCTCAGCCATTTTTGAGCTACGATGAAGGAAAGTTTGAAAAACACAGTTTTGAGGAAAACGCGTTTAAAATTTCAAGACCACTTAGAACCTCTCTGAACAGCTCCTTTTTCTAACTGTTATATTTTTAAACGACTTCGTTTTATTAAAAATGAATTTACTAAATAAAGGAAAAAAAAATTGATTTTTTGAGCCCATCACATGGGATGACCCATACGTTCGCACCGAAAATGAAACTTATTATGGTCGTTCTATTCATGACATCGCAAGTAAAGGCCTTTAGATAATTTGGTGATGTCCCGAAATTGGAGTTTAAAAACTTTATTATTCTCCAAATTTTTTCAATTAGAAAATTTGCCACTCTGTTTGCTACTCGCAGCACAGAGCTGAATCTTAAATTGTAATTAGTTTCCAAAGTCTGAATTAAACATTTATAAAATATGTTTTAACTGAAAAATTGTAAACAAATAAAGAATTTAATTATTAAATCAAAAGCTGGGTTGAAAAGGAAAAATATACATATTTTTTTTAACTTAATAATTAATTAAAAAAGTTTCCATACAACTTAATTTTGGTAATTAAGTTTATTTGGCAGCTATACGATATAGTGGTCTGATCTAAAAAAAATGTTCAGATATTATAGCGTTGCCTTAAGTAATAATCCGTGCCATATTTTGGGATCTCGTCAAATAAAAAAGTTTTTCTTACAAAACAGTTTAAATGATAGCTGCCACGCTGTAGTGGTCTGATATCGGGGACAAATGAGAAGCTTCTTGGGGAGAATAGAGCGTGTTTCAAATATTCAAGCGATATCTGAAATACATACAGACAGATAATCAAACGGACATAGCTAAATCGACTCAGCTCGGCACCCTGATCATTTATGTATGTTATATACTTTTTAGGGTCTCCAACGTTTCCTTATGGGTATTATATGTTCAGGGTAATATAAAATTCTAAAACATATTAAAATTAAATTTCCAATTTTAAATTCCGATTTCGAAATTTAAAAAAAAAATGTTATTTAGAAAATCCACAACAAGAATTAAGGCTCATACTTCGAGTCTCCACCAGAGGTATACTCTATATGTAAATCTTACTGATTTGAAATTTCTTGGATTCAAACAACCCTACGAAAATGGGGCTCCCTATTTCTCCACAAGACACATGTTTGTTCTGTTACTGCAACATTTCTTATGTTGATAATGAATGTGATACTCGCACTTGCGTTGTTGATATTCACGATAAAGCCCATTTTGAATACGCTGGCTTTCACAGTTTGCCTACATATGACAACGAACGCGCTTGTTTCAAGTTTTATTGCTTTTTTGTACTATTTTTAAACTTCCAACTTTTTCATGTATTTAATTTTTTTGTTTAATTGAAAATGTCGTTTCGTTGCAACCTCATCACATCTGAAACAAAGAATCCCTTTTAACTAAATTGGTCTCTTATCATGCGAAAAGAACTCGTTAATTTACAAGGAGTCATCTTGAGGACTGGGGCTACTCACAAATATGACTGTTCCCTACTACTTTTATAAATTTGAATTGTTTTCTATATTTTTTTTTATTTGTTTCAAATTATAAAAATGTTAAAAACTCTATAATAATATAATGCCATTCTTTGAATCGTAAGTTCTAGCAGAAGCCCTGGCAAGATTTCAATTTATTAACTTTTAAATAAATTATTCCCTAAAATTAACTATAATTAAAGACTTAGTTATATATTAAAGAATCATTAGTTTTCTCAATAGAGAATTTACTTGGATGGTTTAATGGAAAATTGTAAAAAACTATATTTGACATAGCTGAGTTTTCAAAAATATTTTGAAGGAACTATATCCAATCTATATCACAATAAATAAAGAGTCAATACTTAAGCGATATACATATGTATGTACACAGCTGGCAGAGAATCCTAAATAAATCAAAACATAATCTTTCTTAAGCGTAAATTAATAAATATTCCAATAAAAAAAGTATTATTATGGCATATGGCGAAATACTCGTTCTACACAGCTCGATAGAAACCATCTAACAACAAAAGGCAAATTGAATAATAACATAAAAAGAAATACATTTTTTTTTTAATATATGTGTGCCTTTGAACTTACTCAATAATACGGAAAATCAGCTTTTCTAATCTTAAAATTTATTAATACCTTATTAAATGGTTGGTGTTTTGATATAATATTCGGAAAAGATCATGATCATTAAAGATCTTCACTCAACATCATGATTACTATCATTGCTTCCTCACAAAATAGTAGTAAAGTCTTCTGTTCCTTCCGTTTTAATTTTGAGCATATTAACCGGCTTAATGATTGGCACCTCCATTACTTCCTCCTCATAGTATATATGTGCATGTATAATACAACGTAGGCTAATTTTCAAACAACATTGCTCCCCAATCATTTTTTTTTTTGTCAGAAAACGAGAACCACCACTCTCTTTCTCCAAGTTCAGGGGGCCTTCTAGTAATAACTACCTGTTCTCCAAACGCAACCAAGCAATGCCAGCAACGATGAACACAACCATTATCAAACAAGTCGTCCCTTCTCGCTCCCACTAATTATTGCGGCCGTTTGGCCATTGGCCTTTTCTACCCTTCGCTCGTAAATCAATTACAGAAGGCGGAGCCAACCAGGAGTGCGATCGCAAAGGCAATATTTTCGAAATTTCTTTAGAGCATGCTAACGCGCTCACACCTACAGCTTCAGCGTATGCAGTCGCTTTGATTTACGATTTTCGAAACTACTCGCCATTCATTGTTGTTCAAACCAGCGGACGTTCTCTTCAGTGCACCACGATGTACAAGTGCTTTTGACAACTTGTAGAATTACTGCTCAATTCCAACGCGGACTTCGAACGGGGAGCTTGCGCGTGTTTCAATTGTTTTTGTTACCGATTAGATGTTTCTTCTTGTCGTCGCATTTATCGGTCGGTATTAAAGACGTGATTAATTTACATATTAAGTTATTTAGGTGCTTGTTTAGTGGCGAAAATACTAATTTTGTCTAACAGGAAAGCTATTTTTCTACAACAATAACACAATTTCGGAACTCCCAAAAATGAAAAAGAATGTAATAATTTTAAGATCTTACCAGGTACAAAGTGGAATTGAATTCAGAAGTTAAAAATGCATAAAAGTTACAGTGGCGAAAAATTCTCAATTAAAAAGGAAATATTTTATTTTAACTATATTAAAAGCTTATTCAACATGAAAACATCAGTGTGACACCTAGTGCAATATATTACATACAATGTATATGGCTTTTTAATTAAGATTTCCCGTACACTAAATGTACTAAGTATTGTTATTGGCTATGAGTGACTAATAATTCTTCTAATACACGTTGTAATAAAATAAACTTGACGATAATGGCAAAACATTTACGAATTGTGCATTCTCTCTGAAAGTGGATTGCATATATAGTATCTAATATTTAAAACATGTTAAGAAACCTGCATACCCACATATTTATTAAAATTAACGAATGAATGATCATTTTTAGTATGGTATAATTCTACTAATACGAGCACAAATACATATGTATTGCCATCATAGAAATAGGATTTTCCCATTATAATACATACATGTTTGCGAATATATTTTTGTTTTTATTCTCTAATCCAGAACGGCTTAGCATGTAAGAATTAAATGTTCGAAAACAATGAATGTGATCCTTCGAATGATGCACACTTTCACATTTGTTATTTGTATACGTATACGTCACATGTATGGGCGAAATATGAATAAAACACGCACAGGCAGTGTGTGATATTCGAAAAGTGTAAATTCGAATATGACGCAAACAAACATGTATACACACTTGCACATGAATCCACGTACAGAGCAGAGTATCTAAGATCGAGAACTAAAATATATATACAAGTATATATATATGTAGATACGTGTGTACATCAGCAACATATGTATATAGAAGTCGAATAAATTAAGACACTCAATGCATGCATTTGCTCTTTATTTTCGAAATCGAGAATTTCTGGTTTGGCAGAATTTATTATTCGAATAAATATACATACGTACATGTACACGAACACCACACATAAATTCATATCAATTCAATTGAGACAAGCGATGGTTCACTACATACCATGTACCTACATATGTATAAACATATTGCGTCGGCGGGTAGGCCAAAAGCCATTCCCTTGTCTACTTTCTGTAGCAATGCGAGTGAACGCAATGGACGAGGCAATAACTTCCGAAGTAGCAAAAATTGCCAGTTGGCATTGGCAGCACCGTTTCAATGTTGTTATCTTCGTCTTTTATTTTACCTCTATAGAGGGTCGGGCATTCGTCTACGTTGATTCGAATATTTCCATTTTTACTTTTTCTTAATTTTTTTCGATATCAATTTTTTCTTAGTTTTTTATACTCTCCGACTGTTTATAAATAATGTAATGCATTTTATTCAACCCTACTCCCCGCTTCTGCTATACGAGCGCTCTTTTTCTCATACTCACTCACACTCAGCGCCGGAGTCGCGTAGTTGCAGTTACAATTGGATATCAGCAGCTACTCGCGAGTGAGTTGATAGGCATACATACTTACACTGCGTATATATACAAGCACACATACACGTATGTATGCGCTATTGGATTATGTGCGGCGCTGCTAGTATCGCAGAGCAGAGGAGTTTTTTATTGATGCCGAGATATTTGTGATTTGAATTATGTTCAAGTAGTCAAACAGAAACATTGGCGCTTTGAGCACGTATTCTCGGGTTAAACATTTCTAAGTTCAATCAAACTAACTAAACGATGCGATCCTAACAGATCCCATCAGATTACCGCCATCATCCATTAATTTAACTAGTTCTGTGTAAAATACTCGTGGATCGGTAGACTGCCTGTACGTAAGGTGCACCGACATCATGTATTCCGATAATAAATAATGGATTATTAGCCGACTACCTTAGCCTTTAACTGATGGTGATTCAAATCGCATCGCTGTTGATAGCGACTCGTTAATAAAAGGAGCAACAGTGTTCGGGACTGCTTGCAAATTAACGAAGCTCCTATTTTTTTATATAATTTATAACAATGGATGATTGAAGTAAAAGTGATCGTAAGTTTCGAGTTTAAATTTATTTAAATACAATTTATTAAAGGATACGCGACGGGTTATGTCATGAGTTAAAAAAAACTAATGTGGAGGTAAAACTACATAAGTAAAACAAATATTATCATTGACGTTTCAGTTTTGTGTTATAAAAATGAATAACTGAGAAAATATCAAGTTCCGAAAGAAAAAGCGCTCTTACAAAAAAGTATTGCAATATCCAATTGGAATTCGCAGAACTCGTAGATAAGCGATTATTTAATTTTCATGTGCAACTACCCCAAACTAATAATAAATACTATATAATTCGACCTATGTATTACAAACAGAAAAACATCAATAAATGTAACAGAAACAGTCATAGTTTTAAAATTCAACACAGTGAATAGTTGTCCACATTGTCACTATTTATTAAATTTATGTGATCGAGTGCAATACGCTTTCCCAGACTAGTAGCAAACTAATATCTTTGCACCGCAATAGCACAATGTCGCCACATTGATCGATCAACTGAGCCCATGTATCTAGTTCAATACGGAACAACACAGTTGGTTAGAGTTCAGTTGCCACCGGCGGGAACTAACCACTATCTCACTAATTCCATTATCTGCTCTCGCTGAATGCGATACAACAAAAATATAGTAGCAGGGCGCTTTACCTTCGATCGACAACTGAGCTAAAAGAAAAAAGTAACATCTGTGTGTACCGACCAATAACAATTAGCCACCCGAATAACTGTTACAGGCATTGTGAAGTCAAAGTTGAAAATTACAACCTGCAACAATAGCGACGGCAGTTAGTGGGAATTGTGACAGTCTCGTTTGATTTATGGCTACATGCGTTTTATTGGGTCAATATATTTAAAACTTGTTTATAGTTATGTTATAATCTAATGCTATTTATAGTGAATGGAGTGCATTGCCTTGGTGCAAAAAAATACAGCGACAATTTTATAGTTTTTAATATAGAATTCTCATAGTTTTATAAACTTGTGTGCAAACGTAAACTAAAGCAGAAGCAAATGGTAACATATAGCAAATAATAATCGTAAACTAATAACTCTACATCTATATCTGTGCTGAGGTTTTGCTTAGGTAAGTACCGTTATAAATATTATAAATAATTATATTATAAGTAAATATTATATATCTTTATGACCGAGGGCTGTCTTTAAACTCTATTCGAATATTTTATGCAGTGTTTTAATCATTTTGTCGTTTAATGTATTCAATACTTTACGGATGCAGTAGTTTTTACCATATATTAAGAGTAGATTAAAAAAAACGCAGTCCCGTGCCCCAGTAATGCCAACATCGCACATTATATTGCAGCCTAGCCAAACAATTTTTTCGAATACTTACCATACATTTTTAAATTCGTGATATCTTTTGAATGGAATGTCCGAATCGAATAATTCCAAAATGTATACATAAATATTTAACCAGTCGTAGTCGTAGTACATTATTTTGTTCTACAGCCAATAGCATTCGCAGCGTACGCAATGTAAGAAATTTTGTTGGTAATTTTTTTCACCTTGGGTTACATTAATTGGGAAGAAAAAGATGCCTGCCAAATATATCCCAAAATCTGAGGGATCAGTTTCCTTCTGGGTGTTACAAACTTTGTTGCAAACTTAATATACCCTGTTCAGGGTATATTAAAGATATATTTAAACAGCACACGAACACATTTACTTTTCTCTCAACAATATACAAATTTCGCTTATAGTTTGCAATCTCAAATTGATTAGTATACTGTTGATGATTAAGTAAACGAATTTTCATATCTATATTACTTTTGTCGCATATTAGATTCTTTTAAAGTAAGTAACTTCACAAAGTTTCAAATAGCATCATATGTATATAAGCAAATATTATCATCCCTTATATACGAAGGAAAAATAATAGTGATTTCCACTAGATTTTTGATGTTTTTAATTCCGTTGACTAATTTAAAAATTATATTTGATCTAAAATAATTTTAATTAAAATTTAATATTGTTTAAAAGTATTAAAAATTTCCATAACATTATTATAATGCTCGCGTGTCACTTATCGGGGAAAAACTTTTCACTTCATTAAAATAAATGCATGTGTTTTCAAATAATTAAGATCGAGAGAGCGAATGTTGGGCGAAATAAGTTGAAACAAGTAAAATATACATTGTTGTAGCTTCGTATGTATACATTACTAATATAAACATATTTGTATTTAAATACATACATATGTGCTAAAGCGTATACTTTTTATTTTAAGGCAACTCAAATAAGTCCCAATACATTTTATTCTACTGTCTGCGCCATACTAAAGCACACCTACGATATAGTTTTATGTAGCGCCATGTACTGCAATCTGGGTAGAATACAATACGATTACGATTCGATTTACCGAATAGAGGTAGTCAACCTCTGATGTATTGCATTTTTGGGAGACTGAAATCATGCTGATCACAGTTTGAACATTTTCTTAATGTGAATATGCAACTAAAAAGTAGCATATGTATGTATGCAGATGCATACCAACATGATTAAAATATATTTAGATATAAGCACTAAACAGAGAAAGTGGATGTTAACGCACTTTCTTAAATAGCAAGAAATTATGCAAGTATTCTACTATGACTGTGAGTACACAGAAAACTCTTAATTTCATAATTTAAACTAAAAATGAAACGCACATGGTGTCCAAATAATATATGCTATTTCCAGTGCATGGCAACGTTGAGGGAGTGAGTGAGTGAAAGTAAGAGTATTTATTTATTTAACCCATATGTATACATATTTATATCAATGCAAATTCTTTAAAAGAGGTAAAATTAGGCAAAACCCCCTACTCACTGTTCCTTACACACTGTGCACTTTGAAGATGTCCAGCGGGTGGTATGCAAATATGTACATGTTCAAAGAGATGTACACTGCGGCACTCCGATCCATTTAGTCCAAACTATTGCACAATGTGGCTCAACAAATGTCATGAGTGCTAGGTAAAGCCAATTACTAACAGAACTCGCACTAGAACTTTGCATTATTCGCTAGTCAGAAAATGAATGGTGCCCAGCTAAATCTGCCTTTCCTTTTATTTTTTCCTATTAACAGAAATTGTAATAGTTTTTTCGTACCACATGAAAGTGGCCGCAGTAGTAATTAATTTCAAGTTGCAATTGTAATCAGAACTGTAGTTTTTGGCGTACCTCTGTCAGTCCGTCGAGTTAACTTTTATACAATAAATCTTTTCCAAATACAATCTTTCTTTTCTTGCAGTACCTTACCATTTCAACTCAATCAGGTAATACTATTCAGCGCCAAGTGAATCAATGAATTAACTATTATATTAAAGGCACGTACCAAATAGTATTATAAAACTTCACATTTCTAAGGACATTTCAACTTAGTTTTCTTGTGGTTATAAATCAGAAATAAAAGTGGGATCAAGAGTCACGCAAGCTCTTAAGAGGCTAATATTTTTTGTCCTTGTTTTTGTTATTTCAACGCAAAAGACAAACTTTCATAACAAAGGCGGTGCTGCAACTTATTCGAAAAAAATTTTAAGAGCCAAATATTGTACAATAAGTGACTACGTACATTTGTTTGCACTCGCAACAACGCTCATCAGAAGCTTGCACGCTATCCAAACGCAAATTATGTAAGGAAACAACTGCATAGAAGTCGACATAGCTGACAGGAAATGAGAACGTGTTAAGTTCATTTTTAATCAAGAAAAACCGTTAACTTCGATTGCACCGAAGCTATAATACCCTTCACAAATAAACAAGATTTTCATATTAAAATTTAATTTTGATCGGTCAATTTGTATGGCTGCTAATGATATAGTTGTCCGTACTAAACAATTTCTTCGGACATTGTACCGTTGGAAAATAATATGCTAATGATAGTACCGTGTGAAATAAAATTCCATTCAAAGAATTGATTCCGATCGTTCAGTTTGTATGGCAGCTATATATTATAATGGTCCGATATCGGCGGTTCTCACAAATGAGATGCTGCTTAAGGAGAAAAGGAAGTGTAGGGACTAGTTCGCGTATATACAGACGGTCGGGCATGGATAAATCGACTCAGCTCGTCATGCTGATCAATTATATACATATATACAAGAATATTTTATAGCGTCTCCGACGCTTCCTTCTAGGTGTTAAAAAACTGTGGCAAACTTAATATACCATTTTCAGAGTATAAAAATAGTTGCGAAAAGCAACTTAAAGGGAAATATAAAAATAATACATATATTAAAAAATTTAACTGAAATCTTTCGCTTTTTCTGTAACTGTAGAATTTATAGATCATTCTACATTTCCATATTAGTTAAGGGGTTGGATATTATTATATTAATGTTCTACTTACTTTTATAATCAAAAACTAGACTTAATACCTGTTTAAGCCACAAGGAAATAAAAGCTGGGATGAATATAAAATGGCCCGGGACTTCATTGAAAAATACATAGTTCATGGCATAATTCTGTTACAAAGTTTACAATACAAAAAAGTCCCGTTATTTTTTATTATCATTTGTATGCAGTGTCAACTCATATATAATAATCAGTTCAGTGTTTGCTTTCGCTTATTAACAATGGAGTGGGGAGCTAAGGAAACTCGTATTCCGGTGATTGCGTGGTCGTCCTTGCGTTCAAACCAATTCAGCCATAAAAACTGTTCACAAATGCATTCGTAGAAATCTTCTTAGAAAATAGAAAATTATGTCAAAGGAAATGAATATATCGACCGGATCAATATCAAGAGTTATTTGAGATGATATTCACATGAAACCCTACCGTTCATCGTTGACCAGTTGCTACTTCTGACAACGCGTTTGAATTAAATTAGGCTCAACAAGCAGCTGCTTTATAGGGAGGCGCTCAACGGCCATGAAAGAATCCTTTTTACAAATTAAAAAAATGTTACTGTTGAAGAAGTTTTTAATAAAAAACGAAAAAAAAGTTATTCCAAGGGTACAACGTGGTCGCCATCCAGCTGCTGTAATGGTTTTTGGGGAGTCTCCTATAGAACCATTAAACCCCTTCACTTCTGATAAAAAATGGGTTAAAACGAGGACAAGTATAATATCAACTGGATGTTTTAGAAAGCGTGGTAAAGCAGTTAAGCATACATGAAAAAACCACCCGCCAATGGCTTAAAAGCAATATTCCTAATTTCTTAGCTGCAGATGATTGGCAGTCTAGAAGTCCAGACTTGAATCCATTGGACTTTATAAAGCAGTTTTTACTTCATTATACTACATTAAATAATAAATATGTAAATATATTGAATTGAAAGTTGCTACATCGTATCGATTGTGGTCACTTTCTCCGATCCTGTCTTTAATTGAAATACCATCTGAAATTATAATAAAGCTTACAAACAGATGTATGCATACGTGAAAATATAAATCGTAATTTACAACTTTTACTCACTGAACTTGCTAATATTATTTAAAATACGTACAAAATATTACGAAAACAAACTAAAATTGTTTAACACAATTTTAAAACATTAACTGTTTTACATTATAGACACAAAACAAGAGCCAATTTTCCCACATTTTTAAAAAAATATTCTTAATTTGGCGCAATTATTGAGTTGTCTCAAGAATCCCACAGTAAATTATAAACCCATATATATTGCATAACAACAGAATTGTTGAGTTCAATTCAATATGGCATAAAATGGAAAACTCAACAAAAACAAAAGGGGCGACAATAACCACAACAAAGGAAAAATATTAGCACCCACTTCGGCCTATCTAGAATGAAACCTCCATCTACCGCACATGAAGGAAACAATGGCCACCACGCAGTGTTACTTTGAATTGAGAATACCCATTTCGGTTGTTTGAAACCGCACTATTACCATAAAATAAGCCATCAACCAATAATAATGACGCAAAAATTGAAAAATCATTAATGTCTGAAAATTATGAGTGCGCACAATGGAAGCAACGACAACCAGACAAAACCCAACTTCCAGTCATAATGTATTTACGAGTATACCAACGACAATAACTTAGTATTAATAAGGCAAGCTGAAAAACGCATGAAAAGATATTTATGACTGTTTTTATGAGGTGCTTACAAATTTTTATGGATTTTTAATGGGCTGCGAACAAACAATGTAGCACACTAACAAGTATTCGACATGAGCTCCTACTATCTGTTGCCCGCCTGGCGTGGTTAACACAAAGTGTGTGAGCGGTGCGATGAATACGCGTGCGCAACTGCCTTGAAATTCATATTTTCATTTATGAATTGTTTGTAAATACACATCTACTCACATACATATGTACATGTTGTATGGTGTTGGTGTGTACTTATATTCTTACTATATGAAGACTCATTTTGTAGGCGATTGCTAGTGAGCGAAACACCGCCCATATTGACAAATATGCAATAACCTTTCTTTTACATTGTAAAAGATTATGCTTTATTGAATTCTTAATAAAAATTATAAAATTCATATCGACAATAAAAATTATACAAATTAAATATATATTCTGAATACTGAACGTGTTCTATTATATATTATTACCGTTAATTAGTATATGCATTTATAAAAAATAAAAATAAAACGACGTGTTTAAAAGTCAGGCGATTTTTTATTTAACATAAACATTTTAATTATTAATCATTATTTGTGTTGTGTGTCCAGTTGTAACTCACTTATACCAACGCTTTTTCAAATTTCATTTAGGATAATACGACTACTCCCAAATAACCGCTTTTTCACTTTTACATTTTTATAAGTGGTTGCCATGTTGATGCGTCAAAGCGAGTTTTCCCACTAGTATCTTAGCAACTACATTGGAAAAGATTGTACCAATTTAAAATATATATTTTTTACTTAGAATAAGCTTACTAGGAGTAAACAAATTTTTTCTGTCATTAAGCCTTACATTGGCCGAACATTCAAACACAATATATATGCATTTTTGGTATATACATATATTTCTTTTCAAATAACTCACCGTTCACCCAAAATGAAGTGTTATCGTCTTACTGTATTCAAGTGCTTTTCAGAAAATTAAATATTAATGTATATATTATCCATATTTAAGAAATAAGAAGATTGATAAAAATATTCAAGCAAGGAGAATATTTATTTATTCTTTGTTTATGTTATGAAAAACACTCCAAATAAGAATTACAGAACTGTCACATTATGTGAACCTTCTTTAAGTGTCGATATTTACTGATTTATAGCATTATCTAAGCCGATTTTAGTTACTGAAATGTTATCAAAGAAGATTCGCTTTTACCTGTCTTATTTCAAATTCGTTCTGCGGTTTAATTATTATTAAATTGCACCAAGATCTTTAATAGAAAATATTTACTTATATAAAAGAAGAAGGGTCGCCTCTATATCGAAAACCTCATAGTTTAATTTAATACGGGCGAAAAAGACCTCAACAAAAGTATATATTATATATATATAATATTATTTACTATATATATATTTTAGCTGTACATATATAAGGCAAAATTGTAAAATCCTATTTATGAACATTTGATTTTCTATTTAAATCCACATGCCTGTTCACCTACGACTAAGCACATACATACATATTTAATTCACTATTTCTAGCAGTATATGCACATATTCACGTACATCTATATATGTGTGCATACTTCAAGTGTGAACTTCAAATGTGAGGAAGGAAACGAATAAATGCCCAACTGTCGCAGAAACGAATTGAAATAATTTATTACTTTCTCATAAGACAATCAAGCGCGCAGACGAAAGCCGACTTTGAGCCAGACGGTGTTAGTTGCACAAGCAAACAGCCATAGATCCATGAAGGCAGCTAGTAACTATTGCGTCTGCGCACACTTTTATTTGTTTGTATCTATTCTTGTTATATATGTATATGTGTACATGAATATATATATACAAGTACTTTCTTCGACTAGATCCCTTCATGTCTTTGAAAGTATTCTTATGTGATTATAAGTGCATAAATATTTATGCTAGCATTTTAGCGCCAATTTAATGAAAACCTCGAGGGCTTGCGGTGCTCAAAAATTTCTTTCTAGTTCATTTCCATTTGCATTCAAGATATTTATTATTCATGGATTTAATTAACACCAATTGAACTGCTTGTCGCACAAACTCTTACTCGTAAACTGAACGAAAGCAATTCCTAACGATCCAAAATAAAATTTATGGCTATTGGTGGGGACGTCGCTTATGACAGAATATTAAGGGAATTCACTTTGGGTTATATTTTGCCTCTTCTTTTGCATTGTCAATATGACATATAGTATTAAAAATCTCAAAATCAAAATGAACAGAATTTCAATTTTTAACAAAAACTTTTGTACCTACATATAGAGCATAGAGACAGCCAAAAACGTTTGGGATTAAAAAATAAAAATTTTATTTTATAATATGAATTAAGTACGCAAACGGGATACAATTTTAATTTTAAAATAATTTATTTTTTTAATTCTTAATTAAATGTTGGTGACTTAAATTTTTTACATTTCCGATTGTTGGGATTAAAAATTAAAAATAAATTAAGAATTAAAAAAAGTAATTGTTATTTATATTATTAAAATTTAAAAATAAATTTTAATTTCAATAAAATTTTGAAATAAAAGCAGACAGCTTTTTAATTGCTTAACTCAGTACTGTGGAAAATGCGTCACTTATGACAACGTTAAGGGAAATCCTGGCCAAGCCACGATTGACGGTCAGGAAGGTTTTGCTATGTGTTTGGTGGGATTTCCAGGAAATCATCTACTATGAGCTGCTGCCCTATGGTCAGGCGTAACTGTACTGTTAACTCTTAGATCATCTGAAGGAAGCAATCGCCCAGAAGTGGCCAGTTTTTCCATCTCACACGGTTCAGGGCTGTTGTTTTGTCGCCGACCCAAGTGGTGTTGGCATCGATTAGTTCGGGCATTACCGACATTCTCCAGATCCTCCTGTGTTCAGTCTCTACAACTGATTTTTGCATCTTACATGTATACGCGATGACATTCTACAAACTGAATAAAATTTTAAATAAATCTAATCAAGTTCATATAGGCCGTGTGTACTTAGGCTTATAAGGTTCAAATTCAATTTAACTTCATCAGCGATGGCGTAATGGTAACTTAGCAAAGGTTAGTTAGTCAACAACCTTTATGAATGCGACTATGTATATACAGCTACATATAGTGCTCTTTGAGGAGAAATGTATTGCCAGTAAGCAGAAATAATTTAGGCAAACACCATTTCAGCTTTCAGTTTGTATGTATCCTACATTCGCATTGGTACAGCTCTTGCTCACTGATGGTTATTACCAACTAACACATCAAAGCCAAGAAATTTGTTGCCTTTTTTGGCAAATTAATCGATAAGACCAACTTGGCGAACCCGTTTTCGTTTCTCCATTTCTTCCTTTGTTCGGCAAAATTTCCACCGTTAGCTGATACCGTTAGCACCATAAAGTTTATTCTTATATTTGTATTGAAACAAATATTCAGCTTTACCCCACTTAACCTTTATGTGAATTCAACATTTTTGCTTCTTAAAGTTAAGGTAAGAACAGGCGTTTTTGAAAACTCCTTTTTCAACCAACCCACCCGGATTAAAATAAAATTGCTTTTCGCTTCAATTTTAAATAAAAATAAAAATTTTTATATAACAAATTATGTACTGAATGTAATAAAAAACTCTTACATGACCTTAAAAATAATCTCTTATAATTTAGATTTTAAAATATTCTGAGGGAATACATATGCATATAACATGTTTTCACAACTCAATACATATCTTAAAAAAATATATGTATATTCGCATAATATTACCTCTCATCCGTTTTGACATAAGTAGATACAAGTATATACATAGAATGTTAACCCTGCTCCGTACCCATAGAAGCTTTACGCTGAACAACAAAATTCTGGTGTTGCCAGTGGCATAAGTTGCTCGCTGACTCTAAATTATAGGTTCTGGGTCAATAACGGAGCATTGCTTTTGTAACAAAAATGAGGCAAAGAATAAAGGCAAAAGCATATGATAAAACAAGATTTACCCCTTTGACTAAAACCCTTCAGTAGTCCTCACGATAATTTGGTTGCTTTTTAAGTGAAAAATAAGTATTTTAACGGTTGGGTTTTCTTTCTTCATTTCACCTTTTATTGGTACGAGTTGGAGTTGGTGCCTCGTTATATTTCCTTTTCACCGAAACAAGTTGTGAGCACGAGCATAAAGTGTTAAAATTTTATTTTTATATACATACATTCTTCCTTGTTCTCAACAAATTCCCTTGAAAAAGCATACTTTCTTGTTTAAACCTACTTTCCTTATTTTCTTTTTATCTTGTACCAATAGCCATTGTGTTCGTTACTTATTATCACTATCAGTCAACGTGTATGGTACTGCGGCTTAAAGTTTTCAATAAGCTTTCAACCTTAATTTAAACGTTTTACCAACTCTGGTATTTGCATTTGAATCGACATTTTTACATATCTTAAATACTGTATTCAGAGGCACTAACCCCTTGCAATGCCTTTTGAACAATACTCTAACTAATAAAGAAATATTATATTAACAAATTAAAGATAAAGTTTTCAAACTAAAACTTTTTGTTCGAAAACTGAGCAAGACTTAAAACGTTTTTCTACTTTTATTATTTACAGAGATAGAAAACGCTAAAAATACAAATTGTCATATCCGAAGATTTTGTGATTATCTCCCCTCCTAAATAAACTGGCAACATGGATCCCGACTGTTTTGCAATGTCTTCGTATCAGTTCGTCAATTCTCTCGCTTCTTGCTATCCCCAACAAATGAATCCTCAGCAAAATCATACGGGCAACCCCACCGGCGGAGCAAGTGTCACAAACAGTAATGGGGGACCTGTTGCAAGCGGCAGTGGCAGTGGTTCGGGGGGACAGAGCAATTCTGGCGCTGGTACACCTGGCGGCAATGATTACTTTCCAAGTGCTGCTGCCTATTCACCAAATTTATACCCAAATACACCGCAGGCCCATTATGCCAACCAGGCATCATACAGTTTAGGTGGGACAAGTGGGGGTGGCCAACAAAATCCCGACATGGTGGACTACACTCAATTGCAGCCGCAACGGCTGCTTCTTCAACAACAGCAACAACATGTACATGTGACGGCGCAACATGCCGCCCAACAGCAGCAATCACATCCGCAACAACAACAACACACCCAACAACAACCAGCGCAACAACAAACCAATCATAATTGCAAATATGCCAATGATCCCTCAACGCCCACCGGCAATAATAACAATACTAATACCAGCAACAACAACACAAACACTCAATCTTTAGCCAGTCCACAAGATCTGTCGACGCGAGAGATTTCACCGAAACTATCACCTACGTCGGTGGTGGAGAGTGTGGCAAGATCGCTAAATAAAAGTGTTTTAAGCGGGAATCTGGCAGTGGCAGCAGCAGCGGCCAACATAACAAACACTCATGGCGGAGTCGGTGGCGGCGGTGGGACTGGCGTGAATGTCAACGTCAACGTAAATGTGCCAATGCACAGTCCTGGAGGTGGGGACAGCGACTCGGAAAGCGATAGCGGCAACGAGGCTGGAAGTAGTCAAAATAGTGGCAACTGCAAGAAAAACCCACCTCAGATCTATCCGTGGATGAAAAGGGTACATTTAGGACAAAGTAAGTTTACGAAAACTTTAATATTATTTCATTACAAATTTTTTCGTTTGAATTAACCTCTCCTTCTTAAAAATAGCTCATAGAATAATAAATAAATAACCAGAACTATTTGTGGTTTGTTTATATCAAAAAGTTCATATAGACAAATTATATTGTTGAAATTTGGTATATGAGCTCACATCAGCTTGTCTGCGTTGCTCAGATCCAATAAATCATGCAAACATTGGTTTAACGGAAATAATTTTTGTAATTTGATTTTAAGTACTTCAATAACAAAACTGTGTAGTACTTCAACCTCAATGCCTCGAACCCTCAACTTTCAACGCAGCGTTATGTCAAAACAAATAAACAATCTTTTCATGGCACTTTCACTTTCTTGTGCTCCTATTTCCACCGCCCACCACTCTGCAAAGAAGTGTCAGCAGACCCGCTGCGGGAAAGCTTCCTTAGCGAACACATATACCATTGACTGATATGTACATTACTTATTAACAGCATATTATACGCCAGTACACGCTTTCCGCGCTTACTCCTTTACACGCACGCTGCGTCCATTATCATGGATATGGAAGATTTAATATCTAGTGGTACATACCTATGTACATAAATAAAAATTTTAGTTTTCAAAAGAATTTGTATGTTCCTAGTGAAAACAAGAACAAACATTAACTTCGGTTGCACCGAAGCTATAATATCCGTCACAAATTCGAAAGTTTCCTTACTAGAACTTGATTCCGATCGTTCAGTTTGTATGGCAGATATATGCGGATCACTATACGATCTGAACAATTTCTTTGGAGATTGCACCATTGTCTTAATGAAAAAGTTTTCAATGCAAGCACTTGACCTAACTAACTCACTGTATAATGTAAATAAGTAATGCAAATTTTAAATCTTCAAAACACTTCGTAATTTATTTTATTAATGATGGACAATGTAAGATCATATTATTTATTATGAGTTTGAAATGTAATTTTGCAACTTCATAAAATAAATTTTGCGAAACTTTTTGAGCTTTTGAATAAACCTCTCCATCTGAAAGTCTTTTAACGGTGACATATTATGGGGATTCAAAAAGTTTTCATGTTGTTTTGATATTTATACCCTGAGAATATAAATTTACCAGGAAGTTTTTAGCACCCAAAAAGAAACCTCGGAGATCCGATAAAATATATGTATAAATGATAAGCATGACGAACTGAGTCAATTTAGTCATGCCCGTCTGTGCGACAGTCTGTCTGTATATAAGCCTACTAGTCCCTCAATTTTTCAGATATTAATCAGTAATTTTGCACACTTTACCTTCTCGCCAAGAAACTACTCATTTGTCGGAACCGCCGATATCGGAGCACTATTGCATATAGCTACATATAGAAAACTGAACGATCAAAATTAAGTTCTTGTATGGAAAAGGTTTTTATTTGTGAAGGGTATTATTGCTTCGGTGTAAACGAAGTTAACGTTTTTCTTATTTTTAAATATGGTTATCATGGTAGGCAGTCCACCTGAACACTTTTACAGACTCAAATAACTAAATAATTACATTTTTTAACTCAGTTAACAATTTTTCGTTCTACGGTAGTTTATTTATAATAATAATCTTGCGCTACATATATTTCATTAATCCGAACTGAATGAAATTAATTGCTATCCATTAACTTTAAATACGAACTAAAAACATATGAACATACATACACGTGTTTACTCTAATTGAAATACCAAATAGCACCTAAGTGTTGCATCAACAGATTTCAATTTTCCACAGCTAAGAATATTACAAATGGATTTCGTGCTCCACAATCAGATACCAACAAAGCAAAAAGTCAAGAAGCTGCAATAAAACACTAAACAAATGCGGTATAATGATTATAAAATAGCAATATGGGCTGGAACATGCACACACTCACCTGAGTACAACGACATTCACGAAATTTTATTTTTACAAACATAGAAATACATACACAAGTATATACCATATACATATGAATATTATACTCGCAAATATTTTTAATCCACTGTGCGTTCGAAGATAATAACTAAGTAATTATTAGAAAAATGTAATATTTGATGCAGTTTCTTGTAAACCGACGCATGCCTCTTCAAAATGGTCACCTAGCAGACGCCTGCAATATGTTTGCGACTAGCAGTGAATTAAGCATTTCTATATACTTGTATGTTATTAGTATCTGATACAAGCGAAAATGCGCCATTGATTGCCGTTGGTTCGGAATCCGTTAAGAGTATTTGCCCACAATTCACTGCGGTTCACAAATGATGATAGAAAGTAATTAAATGCAAACGATGCATAAAATGTGTTCATGTAGGAGTGGATTTGTCTCGAAGCCAGTGACCATTGTTGCCATTTTAAACAAATACAGCAAATGCATAAGTATTTCATGCAATGCAAATACCCTAACGTTCTTCATGACGACAAGTAGAGCGGAGTGGGTTGGGGACGTGGCAAAGAATCAGGAACGTAGTTCGTTAGTGAAAATCTTAGTTGTAGTGAGAAAATATTATTCTACATATTTTGGACTATACAAATTTCCATATAGCTTCAAAGATTTTAACCCCCATGACCTAAACAAGCTCATCTGAAACCGCTATTGCAAATACTGATATTAAAGCAAACTAAAAAGCAAAATAAAATAATTTGGAAGAAAATTTAACCTGATTTTGTTTAATATCAGAAGTTTGAATCGAAAATTTTAGCAGTTGCTGTTGCCATATAACTTTGACAGGCATTGATAAATAAGGGGCATTTCTCTCGTTTTTATTAGTGCGACAGATAATAGGCTCATTGGCAGAGCGATTGAAAGATCTCGCGCGCCACATATTGTTTGCTTTTTGCAAAGTTTCGATACAGAGAAACGATCAGCCGACGAGTAAAACAACGTCAACAAACCGTTATGTATATGCGTTGTTGACAGCAGAAACAACAACGCAACCAACAATACCGATATTAACACAACACGACATGTGCACTGCCGCCAAAACGATTGTCTCATCGCCGCTAGCATATAATGGTTGTTGTTGTACGTAGAAAATTATTTTTTGATTTTTCTCTGCTATTGAAGAACATTTTCTACAGCTGCTTAAAAATTGTATTGTACTTTGTTACAAAATCGGTGGTAAGAAGCAAACATATTGTTGGACACCACAAGTGCTCGACGTTTCGAAGTACTCAATGTAAGGTGAATACCTTTCTGGGCTGTTGGGAAGATACGCAAAGGAGATACTTCGTCAATTTTACAAAAGAGAATATTGAGTCGTACTAGTATATGTACATATGTACATACTTATGTTTATGTATACATATGTACATATATTTTACTCAACTCTGTTTGTGTATGATCTCTAATTTTTATACCCTGAACAGGGTATATTAAGTTTGCCATGATGTTTGTAACATCCAGAAGGAAACGGTGGAGACCCTATAAATATATATATATATAGATACATATGTACATATATAAATGATAAGCGTGACGAGCTGAGTTGATTTGTTGTAGTCCCTCAGTTTTTCAGATATCGCTCTAAAATTTTGGACACATCCGTTTCTGTTTAAGAAGCTGCTCATTTGTCGGAACCGCCGATATCGGACCACTATAGCATATAGCTGCCATACAAACTGAACGATCGGAATCAAGTTCTTGCAAGGAATCTTTTATATATGTGAAGGGTATTATAGTTTAGGTGCAACCGAAATAAACGTTTTTTCTTGTTCTATGGTACATGAAATAAGTACATTTTATAAAGCATTCTCCTTATTACTAGAAAAAGTCAAGTTTGAATCTGACATGAGTAATTTAGACTAGTGATCACCATCAATTAATTATTATTGACTAATATGTTTGCATACATACTCGTACATATGTATATACTGTGCTATAAGTTGTACCATTTTGCATGTTTTGCACACTAATATTTACTAAGAATTTTTAAATACAGGAAAAGTTATGCTTCACAAAAACTTAACTTAAAATTCAGTACAAAAACATAAAATGTATTAAGTTTTCGTTTTTACTCAGTGTGACACTTGCGGATCTGTTAAAATCAGTTCCCAAGTGACCATTTTTCAAGTACCAATTGCAATTACGCACATTTGGGACTACGAACCTGACTACTGTTTAACGCCAGTTAACAATGATTCATTGATTGGTATATATTGCGGACTGATTACTTAGTCGTGTGCAATCCTTCCTGTATACTCACTGAATATAATTTGTCATCAAATTTGTATCAAATACTCGTAAGCAAAATGCATAACTTCATTAGATTTTTTCAACTTTGTTCGCTTTTATAAATCATTTTGTATTCAAATAAAAAACTGTCACCAAGTACTGCTATTATGTACTTGTATATATGTATGTATATGCAAACACATAACAATGGCAACTCCAACCAATTAATTATTTTCCCTTATAAACAAATTCAACATGACATCCACTCCATTGAGATCTACCGTGTTGCATTAAAGTAAATGAAAATCTATGTAGTCAATCTCAGCTTTGTTGTCCGCAACTTACCAGTTACGCAGCTCCAGTGCTCCACAGTTAAAGCCAGTTTCTCAAATGTTCTTCCTGAACACAATGACATCAAACTTATACATAAATATATTCGCAAACTTTGGTGTGTATTGGGCCCAAGTCCAAGTTTGGAAGTTAACAAGAATGGGTTGTTTTTAATTAATAAAGCTTTATAGAAAGAATATGCAAAAGAGAGAAAGATGGAGGATCATGAATTCCAAACCTGCACCAGTGAAGGTATTTGTAGTTGAGTATATTAATTTTTGCTGTATTGTATAAATGCAGTTTTAATACCCAAAGTTGCAGAGATTTTCAAGATTTGATGTTACATTTCTGCTGTTCCAGCAACGATGCGCATACCCATTTAACTTCACAAAATTATATTTCGATCATTCCTTAAGTTTATTTTAAACCCAGTCAATCCCAAAATAATGTTAGTTTTTTACGCTGCACATATGATATATACATTGT